AGGGGGGTCAGGAGGCACTGACATGGGGTTTGGGGTCAGGCAGCATTGGGGGCACTGACCTGGGGGGCAGCTGGGTCGTGCAGCAGACGGCGGAAGGTGCTGAAGAGCGAGAGCTGGCAAAGCAGGCCGGGCATGCCCAGGCCTCGCGCCAGGCGCTGCAGCATCCGCGCCACGTAGTGGTTGGTGCGCGGCCCGTTGCACTCGTAGTCCCGCAGCAGCAGCCCGTAGGCGCGCAGCACCGGCACGCACGCGAACCTGCCACCCCCCAAATGCCATGAGCCAGGCATCCTGGGATAGCCCCACACCTCCAGTCCCGCCGCCATGAGCAAGACCATCTTGGGATATCTCTGTCCCTCAAGCACCACCTAGCCCTGAACAAGGCATCCAAGGATAGCCCTGGCCCTGCCCTGACATAAATGAGCAAAGCATTCTGGGATAGCTCTGTGCTCGACTCCTACCCTGACACCCCCCTGAACAAAGTATTGTGGGATGGCCCCACCACACCACACCAGCCGCCATGAGCAAAGCACCATGGGATAGCTCTGCCCCACTGGCCCCCAGCACACCTTCCCTCCCAATCTGCAGCCCCTTGCTCCCCCTGGTGCCCTGCACTGAGTGAGTAGGGCATCATGAGATACCCCAGCCCACCTGCCCCCCTACTCACCGCTTTAAGTAGTCCTGAAAGCTGAACTCCTTCTCCGACACGCGGACAGCCTCCAGCTCCTCATCTTCATCCTCCTCCTCGTCCTCACCTCCCTCCGGCTCCTCCACTTCGGCCTCCGCTGGCCCTGCATGGGGAGGGGGTCAGCCCACGTGTGCGCACGGGACTCCCAACCCGGGCACAGCCTAGGCACGTGGGGGCTAAGCCTGGAAGGGCAGAGGGGATGGATGCCCCCACTCCCGACCCCCGCCTGCAGGCATAGCCAGGGGGACTCACGTGGCAGCGGAGCAGAGAGGATCTGCTGCAGCAGCTGGATCTCGTCATCCAGGCTGGCGTCAGGGACCCCAAACACATCACCTTCGGGCCACACCTCCCTGGAGGTACAGGGCAAAGGTCAGAGGTGGGGGGCATGGGCCCTCCCAGGGCAGACCCCTGGGCGGGGGGAGCAGGAAGCTGTACCTGGAGGCGCGGAGGAGGGCCAGGGCATGGGGAGCATCACCGGCCACCAGCCCAGTTTGGATCCGCGCCAGGGCCTGCGCCCGCTGCTCCTCCACTGGCGTCTCAGCTGCAGCATCAAAGGGCACTGGCACCTCCTCTGGCAGCTCCTGCAGGCACAGGCGTGGCCAGGGGCAGTGGGCGAGGGCACGACCAGGCCCCTCCTGTCCAAAGAGGGGATTCTCTTCCCTTCGGACCCCAAACTCTGAGTACAGCCCCCGCCAGCCAGGTGTCCCCTTACCTGGGCGCAGACCTGGAGCTGGGCCTCGAGCCTGGGCCACAGAGCATCCAGCTCGGTGGGGCTGGGGGAGGCCGGGGTCGGGCGTGCCCGGGGCTTCTTCCTCCGGCGCTGCTTCTTGTTCTGCAGGACGGACAGTAAGACCGGGGAGAGCAGAACCATCCCTCCTGCCCCTCAATCCTACCTCCACCCCCCCAGACACCTGGACGACAAGGCTGCGGCGCTGGCGGCAGAAGCGCTCGAGCAGGCGCAGGAAGAGGTGCGTGGCCCCAGCCAGGTCCCGCAGGAAGGCACGGGGCTGCTGCGCTGCGTTGAACTTGCGGAAGAGCGTGAGGAAGAGCTCGCGGAACTCCAGCACGTAGAAGATGTTGTCTGGGGGCAGCAGGGGGGCATCAGCACCAGGGCCCCCATGCCCCCGGCTGGGGGCAAGGGAGGGGAAGGTGGGGGGCACTCACTCTTGAGGACGTGGCTGCCGCGGCGCACGGCTGGGTCGGGTGCCTGGTCCATCTCCTGCAGGCTCAGCAGCAGCTCCTGGTAGGCCTTGAGCGCCAGGTGCATCCTGCAGGGGGGAGATGCCAGCTCCTGAGACCCCCTCAAGGGGATGGGGAGAGAACCCAGGCATCTGGGCTCCCAGCCCCCCTGCTCCCAACCCCACAGCCTTGGCCCTCCTCCTAGAGCTGGAGGGAATCCCAGCATCTAGGTGGCACCCACCTGCGGGCCCAGGCAGGGATCTGGGGCTTGTCTATCAGCATCATCTCATAGCAGAGGCGCAGCTGCTGCTCCACGGTGTGGAAGGCACTAACGCTGAGCGCCTCTGACACCAACTCAGCCCGGAATCCGTGTGCCCGCGAGAAGCCCAGGAAGAAGCTCAGGGCCCAGAGGTAGAAGGTCTCATCGTGATCCTCCGCCCGTGCCCGCCCCAGCTGCTCCTGTGGGGGGCAGGGGATAGTACAGCGGGCGCTGAGGGACAGGGATGGTCCCCCCAGGTCCTGCCCACAGACCCCCCTCCAGCTCCTGCCAGCTCCCCTTTGCCCTTCCCTGCATCTTGAGCCCTGCTGGTGCCCCTCACTCCCAACCCGCAGCCCCCTGCTCCCCCCACCCACACACCCAGTGCCCCTTATTCCGAACCCACAGCCCTGCACCTTGACAAGGGCCATGAGGCGGTTGAAGCCAGAGCGCAGAAAATCCTCGCAGAAGCCGCGCAGGAAGAGCCGCACGTTCCGGGCTGAACGGCGCCGCGGGGTCGGATCGGGAGGGGGCTGCCGGTGCCGTGGCACCCGGGCCCCTGGCTTGCCCAGGTCTGAGCTGTAGTGACGCACCTGGGGTGGGGTGAGACGACATGTCAGCTCCCATCTCCCGCTTGGGATCTCCCCCAGTCCTGTGAACCCCCTCAGCCCCAGTGCCCCTTACTCCTGAACCACAGACCTCAGCCCTCTCCTGGGATCACTCACGTTGTGCAGCCCCTTGTGAAACACGACGTCTCTGTCTCCGATCGACTTCAGGCCCTGGATGATGTAGGAGCCGCCGAAGCGCGAGTGCCTGGGGAGGCAGAGAGATGAACGTCATTTAGGGGTGGGTGACAAGCAACAAGGCTAGCACCAGCCCCTGTCCCCCAGTGCCCCTCACTCCCAACCCACAGCCCCCTTCCCCCCAGTGCCCCTCACTCCCAATCTGCAGCCCTGCCTCACCTAGTGCCACGCTGCCGCAGGCGGCTCCTGCGCTCTGCCATCTCCCGCTGCCTCAGGGCCTCCAGCTCCCGGGCGTCCTCATCCTGCTGTGCCGCTATGCGGGGCTGGCCCGTGGCTGCCAGCTGCTCCGGTGTCTGGGGGGGTGGGGCATGAGGTGGTCACAACCCCTTGGGATTGCAGCAGCT